CAAATAACTGAAATTTCTAATAGCCGCTATCTCGGTTCTGGCAAAAGTGGTCATCCTGGCCGTCTTCTCTCAGTATCTTGGCATAGCCCTACCGTTTCTTGCCGCCATGCTCTATTTCCTGCAAAGATTTTACCTCCAGACGTCACGCCAGATACGACTTCTTGGGATTGAAGCCAAGGCACCTCTATATACGCACTTCTCTGAGTCTGTGGACGGTGGCGCAACCATACGCGCTTTCGGATGGCAGGCCCAGTACCAGGAGCGCAACTACCGCTACGTTGACACATTTCAACGGCCAAACTACTTGCAGAGTTGTATACAGGCTTGGTTAACTTTGGTCCTCAATCTCCTCGTCGCCGCACTAGCAGTCATCTTGGTGTCTACGGTGGTGACGTGGCACGACAAGTTCAGCGCAAGCAGCGTAGGCGTGAGCTTGGTTATGGTCATTGGCTTCAGCGAGGTTTTGGCTCGCTTGATTCAAAGCTGGACTAAACTTGAGTCCAGCGTCGGGGCGGTAGCTCGGGTCAGGCGCTTTTTGCTGGAGACGGAAATTGAGACTAGCGTCGGGAAGGCTTCAATGCCGTCTGAGTGGCCTTCTTCTGGGGCTCTATCCTTCTCTAATGTTTCTGCATCGTATGGGTGAGTCTTACATATCCGTGCCCTTTCTAATTAGTAAATTTCTGCTCAGAGATTCTAACCAGCATGCAGTCCAAGAGCTGAATTGATGCTCAAAAGCGTCACTCTCACCATCGAAGCTGGTCAGCACATTGCAATATGTGGCCGGTCGGGCAGCGGAAAGACATCCCTAGTTCTCAGCCTACTACAGATGATGCATGTGACGAAAGGCATTATCAAGCTAGACGGTGTAGATCTTGCGACAGTGGTGCAAGATGATATCCGCTTTCGCATCAATGTGGTTACTCAAGACCCGTTTCTGGTGCCTGGAACTATTCGTTTCAATATTGACCCATTCGGCGTCGTTTCGGACGACAGCGAAATTTCCCGCACTTTGGAAAGGGTCGGGCTTTGGGATATTATTTCGAGACTTGGTGGATTGAACCAGAACATGGACTCTGCTGCGTGGTCAGCAGGACAGAGGCAGCTTCTTTGCCTGGCTAGAGCTATGGTGCGGAAGTCCAAGGTTTTGATACTGGACGAGGCAATGAGCAGGTAAGTTCTTTCACGGGACGGATTACGATACGTTCGGACCTGGCTAATATGTCATAGCGTTGATGCCGTGACCGAATCTGTCATGCAGGATGTGATTGACAATGAGTTTGTAGGCTGCACGGTGTTGGCTGTGATGCATCGACTTGGACATGTGGTTCGTTACGACAAAGTCGCCCTGCTCGAGGATGGGGAAGTTCTGGAGTTCGGAGCGCCAGAGGAACTGATTTCAGCGAACACCAAGTTTGCTGAACTTTGCCGAATGGGCGATAATTGATTCAAGTAGTGCCTTCAAGATCTAAGATCTATCTCGAAACTGAGGAAAGCGCTGTAAGTGCGTAAGTCCAGATTTGTCCTTTCCATTGCTGCACAACGTTGTCGACCGCTATAGAGCCAAAAGTCGTATTCTGGAGTCGCTTTATCCATGAAAATACTCTCTTTATACTGCTCCGTACCATATAAATCTATCCAATCAATAGATAACGTCACGTACTTTCGTATTGATAAAATTGAAGGAAGACGAAGATTCACTCGAGGTAGATGCTGCCCCGAGGTGGGGCAGATGTTATAATTAGCAGCAACCTTATCGTTATCAGATGGAGTCCGTGCTCAAAATAGAAGAGGCAGGTCCCACTATGGAGCAGCAGCACATCACGTGCCTTAGACCTGCCATTGGTAATTGTCTCTTTTGGTTGGTTCCTGCGTCCCCCGTCACTACTGCACCAATCAATCGTGCTCCAATTCACTGCCCCTGCCCCGCCCCTGCCCCGCCCCCGCCCCCGCAGTCCTCAGCTCACCGCACCGTACGGACGACAGCGGACGGCACGGCACCTCACCTTCACCCCAAACCTACCTTGACCTAACTTTACCTCACTCACATCACTAGCTTCAGCTCACGAGCAACGCTCGTTTGCGTTGCGATTCTCTTACCAACCTTCCGATTCGTTCCGGCTGCATTGCTATTCCTAGATCACTTCTCGTTCCTTCACTCTTCTCCCTAGTCCCTACCATGCCCAAGAACACCCCAGCGCCCGATGAGCCCGTCGTTACTTTCAGCTCGGGCTCCAATGCGCCGGTTGCCCTGCGTCTTCTCCACCTCAACGATGTTTACCACTTGGAACCAGCGAGCGCTGAGCCGGTGGGCGGTGTTGCTCGCTTCATCACTGCCGTCAACGAGTACCGAAGCCACGAACGCTACCAAGACGAACCCGAGCTAGTGACTCTATTTTCGGGAGATGTCTTCAACCCCAGTCTCGAAAGTTCCGTCACAAAAGGTACAGCCCATCTTCATCACGTGCCATTCATCTGTCACTTTTACTGATTGCGCCTCAGGTGAGCACATGGTGCCAGTGCTCAACAAGATCGGCGTTGACTGCACTTGCGTCGGTGTAAGTGGGCCTCATACCTTGTTGGTGCTTTCTCGGAACTAACATGCTTGACGTAGAACCATGACTTCGACTTTGGAGTCAAGCAATTCGAGCACTTGACCGCCAAGTGCAACTTTCCCTGGCTCCTCGCCAATGTTCTGGACCCGGCTCTAGGCGAGAATGTCCCTCTCGGACATGCCAAGCACACGCATATGATCACATCATCCAATGGAATCAAGATTGGTCTCCTCGGCCTCGGCGAAAGAGAATGGCTAGAGACGATCAACAGCTTGCCGCCAAACATCATCTACAAATCGGCCAGCGAGACAGCCAAGGAATTGGTGCCGCAGCTTCGGGCCCAGGGTGCCGACATCATCATCTGTCTCAGCCATCAGCGTGAGCCAAACGACAACAAGCTTGCCGAGAAGACCGAGGGTCTCATTGATATCATCCTGGGCGGACACGACCATTACTACGCTCATAGCTTCGTCAATGGCACGCATGTGCTTCGATCCGGCTCCGACTTCAAACAACTCAGTTATATCGAAGTCCGGAAAAGGGAGGATGGTTCAGGAAAGTGGGACTTTGACATTCTGCAGCGCGACATCGTCTCCTCCATCGCGGAAGATCAGGAGACACTGAAGCTTACCGAAGAGCTGACCTCTAAGCTGAAGCATAGCCTGGCCAAGTCCGTAGGTTGGACGGCCTCACCACTAGACGCAAGGTTCAGCACCGTCCGGATGAAAGAGAGCAACATGGGGAACTTCGTCTGCGACGTAATGAGGCATTATCACAACGCCGACTGTGCCCTGATGGCCGCCGGTACAATCCGCGGCGACCAGATTTATCCTCCTGGCGCGATCAGGGTCAGGGATATCACCAATTGCTTTCCCTTTGAGGATCCTGTCATTTTTATCAGAGTGACCGGTCAACAGCTCTGGGATGCCTTAGAAAATGGCGTTTCCCAGTACCCAGCACAAGAAGGTATGCGGCATATTCGGTAGTCTTCAAGACGTTATGATTTGCTAACCCACCAGGCCGATTCCCGCAAGTTTCCAACATCGAGTACACCTTCGACCCCAGCAAGCCAGCTGGTTCCCGCATTGTAGAAGCCACTCTTGGAGGCGGGCCGATTGAACCGGAAAAGAAGTACACACTTGCGACTCGAGGGTACATGGGCAGAGGAAAAGGTAAGTCCAGAGAGTCATGGAATTGATCGTCAGCTGACCATCTTAGACGGATTTACCAGCCTGCTCGTCGAGCCCGAGGGCGGAACCGCCGAGGAGATTGTCTGCGAAGAGAACGGCATTCTCATCTCCGCCATGTTGCGCCAGTACTTTATGAGCCTTCGTACCGTTGGCCAATGGAAGAATCTCAGCGAACATTGGGTCAAGGTCGCCGAGAAGTGCCACAGCCCAGTCGAGCCCCGGAAAATGTGGGAGACGCCGGCGGAGACGGGCACCTCGGACCCCAAGCCAAAGGTGGAGTCCAGGTCGTGGGCTGAGTGGATGGTCAAACGACATGCATTGAACATCAAACCTCCCAAGGATGACTCCGACGACGAGGTTGACTCTGAAGATGAGGTGGATAGGGTCGCTCAGATTGATATGGAGATGCTCATTATGCGCAAGTTCTTCGCGAGATGGGCAAGCAAGGCAGGTGTGAAAGCTGAGGTGTGTGATCCTCTGCACGAGGGGGAGTTCACAGTCGACTGGACCCGCGTCATTGCACCTGTTCTAGAGGGACGCATCAAGATGATCGGTTAGACGGTTACAAAAGTTCACAAAAATAGAATAAATGGTATTCATTTGGGATTCAGCTAAGAAGGATTTGAGCTCTCGTCTATTGTCAACTTAATCTAAAGGCTTTGCTGGTATAACCCGGCCATCTCAATAAATCCCGCCTCCTTTGTGAGCGGCAAGAAACCGTGGCGGGAACTTTATCGGTACGTACCTTCCTTCAACGGCCGTTCCCTCCGTCTCATGGTTCCCCTCCGTCTCATGGTTCCCCGCCGTCCCCGTCCCGTTCCGTGGTCTATCATAACCACAGCTCCCACCCAGCTCCATCCCATTCATTTACCTTGCTTTTCGGACGAACAGCCCTTTGAACCTTAATCACTTTCATCATCCGATTCTTACTTGACATAATCCTGTTTACTACTCTGATTGTTCACCTCCTTTCCAATCTTGCCCCTGCACAGTCTGCATCGCCACACCAAGCGTCTTGGCTGGTGCGTTCTCCCGCCAGTCACGTCTCCCTTTCACAATAGTATTTCTGATTCATGCCAAGTCTTAAATTTCTCTCATTCCAGGGCTGCTAGCGGTCATTCTCTCATATCTCATGTCGGTCAAAAAGAACTCTAGATCACATCCCTGTCCCAACTGGCGTCCACTGAGCCCGTCAAGTCTCCCTATCTACGGTCTTGGCTCCATTGCAACTCAAAACAACAATCAATCAGAAACATCTCTAAACCCATGTCGAAGTCGGCTGCTGCGCCATGGGCAAGCCCTTCTTGGACCCCAACGCCTGGCCCACGACAATCATCCGCATGACGCACTCGGCGCTCTCGCGTGTCAGAACCTCCGCGTCCAAGATGGCCTCGTCCAGCGTGGATGGTCGCTGCAGGATACACGTGTACGCATCGATTCCGACGTCGTAGTTGACCCGCGCTCCTGGCCCTATGGTTCCCGCGATGGCGATGACAGGCAAGCCGTGCTTCTTCGCGCGCACGCCAATCTCTGCGGGAATCTTGCCCCGCGGAGTCTGGTCGTCGATACCCCCTTCGGCCGTGAGCACCAGGTCACAGTCGGTGAACAAGCCGTCGAAATCGACATACTCCGCCACCACCTCATATCTTGGCCGGAGCTTGGCGCCGATCAGCCGCAAACCGCTGCCCAGCCCTCCAGAAGCTCCTCCGCCAGGCGAGAGGCCCACGTTCTCGTCGCAGAGAAAGCGGCCAGCCACGACGGCGAGGACTTCCATGGCTGCTGAAAGTCGCTCTGTCTGCAGTATGCTGGCACCTTTTTGCGCACCAAAGACTCTGGCAACGCCGTCCGGTCCAGAAAGCACGTTGTTCCAGTTGACAGCAACCTCGATGGTGACGTCCCTGAGGCGCTTGTCGATGCCGCCAAGATCAATGTTTCTCAGACGCAGAAGAGACTCGCCCCCGGCAGCAATGGGTAGCGAGTGTCCATCTTCGTCTGTAAGTTGAGCGCCAAGCGCCTGAAGCATTCCGGCGCCGCCATCACAGGTGCCCGAATCACCGCATCCGACGACGATCCGCTTCGCACCAGCGCTCAATGCAGCGGCTAGGAGCTCCCCAACTCCAAAAGTTGTGGTAACGCCCGGATTGCGAAGATAAGAAGGCACAAGGCTCAGGCCAGCGGCCGCTGCCATTTCGATGACGGCAGTCTTTGGCGTATCTGGGTTGCTGCTTCCAAGGATGCCAAAGAAGGATGCAATCGGGATGCCCACGGGGCCGGTGACGGTGACTGGATGAAGCGTACCGCCAGTCGCCGATACAAGGGCACGAGTGAAACCCTCGCCTCCGTCGACAAGGGGAACCTTGCGGACGATGGCCTCTGGCATCACAGCCAGAATTCCGGCTTCGATGCAATCAGCAGCAACGTCTGGCTGTAAGCTGCCCTTGAATCCTGAAGGACAGACAAGAACTCGCATGCCCTCAGGAACAGGAAGAGAACCCATACCGTCTTGGTGGGTGATTTTCTGGGGTGCGGACTCAGTGAGATCAATGGGAGATAGTGATGAGTCTCTTTGATCAGGTGTTACCGCAGTGTTGTTGGGGGGAGAGCTCATTTGTTTGAAAATCAAGCGAATGTTGATAGCGAGCGAAGTAATTGTAAGAAGCGAACGTGAGTGACGTAAATGAAGATGTAAACTGACGGTGATATGGATTTAGTCAAACGCAATTAACAGACGCTACAAGGTGATAGCTTTATATCATTCACGATGATGATCTGCAGCACGCCTTAGGAGAACACAACTCTCCTGCCAATGGCTCATTGTGACTTGCTCTCGGTTGTGATATTCAGTCTCCTGGCTTGACGACATCGAGTATCAGGCAGTCTGGGTTAGGAACGAAGACATCCAGCTGCCGAGCCGTGGCGATGAAATGCTCCGCCGGTGTATATTTTCGCAAACGGGCATGCGATCGTGTGATCTCTGCATACCCAACGCCAGGGACCATGATGGCTTCTCTCAGCCCTGCACGTGTCCCTTGCCTCGATGGGCTGTCGACTGCAACCAACCCACACGAGATACCTCGAAACAAGGTAAGACTAGGAGCTGTCAACGGCTTCCATTGCGTAGCAACTCGTTAGCGGAGGTTACATCATGACACAGCCTCTGAAAGCGGCAGGTCAGACTACCGGCATGGTGCGCAGATTAGATGCTCTTGAGTTCCAACTGGTTGGTATGCGTGGTATCATCATGTACGGTTCTTAGAACCGATGCCTGTCGTAGTGAGCACGCGACCAGATTGGTTGCCAGATCTCGTATCTCAACCGACGACGGACCCCGAAACGTCCGTCCAAGGTTTGCCGTCTTGAAAGATAGTCTTCCAATCACATACGGCCGTACCTGAGCTATAAATAAGAATTGCCCTTATTTCAGGGTTATCCTGGAGGTGCAAGGCCTCGCTTGGGCGGAGTCTAGAAAAATGTCACTCCAAAAAGACGCACTCATCAGCCACAGTTGACGTAGCAATCCAGGAACCCACCCACCCCCCGCCGATCGACCGCCAAGAAAGCTTCGGCTGTCATTCTCACCCACAGTTTGGTTTAAAGGTACACTCTGGCAGTGCTAGTTTTCCTTGTTGCGTCACTTGGCAGGATGTCTTTGGGCGAATGAATCTAGGGATGTGTGACCTCTTGAGCCCGGCTGGTTCTGCCGCTTACAGGAAGGCTGGTTTTTCTAAGCCTGAAGACATCACGCCAGGACAGAGGCGATGCCATCACGAGTGCATGAGGCGGTGCTCTTCTCCTTATCATCTTGGTGCTAGAATATTGGCCTCCCTCTGAGTTTTTCACGAGATAATCTTGTTCTGTTCACGTTGCAGAAACTCATATAATGGACTAGATGAAAGGTCGCAGCTTCATAACTTCGCACTATATGCAGAGACACCTAAGAATCATCACCAACTTTCGTTAATCTCTCTCTTCACACATTCGCTTCAAGATCTTCCCAACTCTCGCTTTCACATCTTTGTTTCGTTCCTGTCATGTCTGACTCAAAACCACACGCCTACTACTTTGTTCCCCGGAAGCCGGTATCGGCAGACTCCGAGACAGGCTTCAGCCTTCATAGGACTCTGACACGATCAAGATCTAGCTTATGGCGAGGATGGAGTCCAGGGCTACCTTCTTTCTCAGAATATGAGAGAACAGCATACAAATTCCCCTGGCTCCAAGACCCAGCGGAGGAAACAGGCAGTAGACATCCTGGGATTATCTTGGAGACATCTGCTCCTGACGATCGTTCACACTTACTTTCTCACGACGACACGCAGGCAGGACCCTCTGCGGAAATCCCTCCCAAGGAAAAGGCTGCGCAGAAAATCACGCCCGATGATCCTGAAGACCCAGACCTGGTGTGTAATGACTGAGCGTTATCTAGATAGTACACAATTCATCGAGTCTATTCAAGAAGCTAATCATACCCTAGATAACATGGTCTGGGCCCGATGACCCAATGAACCCAAAGAACTGGGCCAGGCACAAAAAATGGACTGCCACCATCTTGGTCTCATGTTTCACATTCATATCGCCAGTCTCCTCAACCATGCTAGCCCCCGCACTAGACACCCTCGCTGACGAATTTGACGTCGAGTCTGACATTGAGACCTATCTCCTCATGTCAATCTTTCTACTAGCGTACGTCGTGGGGCCATTCGTCCTTGCTCCGTTGTCAGAGATGTATGGTCGTGTTGTCGTGCTTCAGTCTGCCAACATGTTTTACTTGATCTTCAACACCGTCTGCGGCTTCTCTGCTTCAAAGCAGCAGATGTTGGCTTTTCGGTTTCTTAGTGGACTTGGTGGGAGTGCTCCTCAAGCTGTAAGTCTCGAGTCGCATCTATCCGGAACATCTTGCTGATACGATGCTTAGCTCGGTGGCGGCGTACTGAGTGATTGTTGGAGAGCTGAAGAAAGAGGCACAGCGACTGCCATCTACAGTCTGGCTCCCTTTCTTGGGCCTGCTGTTGGGCCGATTGGTCAGTCCTTCCTGCATCTTAGGTACTTCTACCGTACAATCTTTGCTGACTATTGTAGCTGCCGGATACCTGACACAGTACCTGTCATGGCGCTGGATCTTCTGGACCGTCTCCATCGCTGATGCGGTCGTTCAAATTCTCGCTTTTCTCTTCCTCTCTGAGACTTACGCCCCCAAGATCTTGGCAGTCAAAGCTAAAATGCTGCGCAAGAAGACGGGTAACGCAAGCCTCCGCACGGAGTTCGATCAGCCAGACAGGACTTTTGGACAGACGTTGCGGAAGAATCTTGTCAGACCATTCAGGATGCTCTTTACTCAGCCAGCGCTGCAGATTACCGCGGTGTACAGGGCATACCTGTATGGTCTTATGTATCTTGTGTAAGGTTCAATCTCATTACTCAGTATGATATTAGTGATAAAAGCTAACTACTTTTAAGCCTCGCTTCGTTCCCTTTTGTGTGGAGTGAGCAATACGATATGGAACCCGGACCGGCTAGTTTAAACTACATCTCACTTGGTGTTGGCTTCGTGATCGGGTTACAGATATCCGGACCTCTTATAGATAAGGTTCGATAAAGGATACTCACATTGCCTTCTAGAAATCATTGACTTACACATTACAGGTCTATCGCAAGCTCAAAGCGCAAAACAACGACACTGGGCGCCCTGAGTTCAGAATCCCTCTCATGTTCCCCACAGCCATCATCACCCCCATAGGCCTCCTGCTGTACGGAATCGCAGCACACTTTGAAGTCCACTGGATCGTTCCAAACATTGGAGCAGCAATCCTGGCCGCTGGTCTCATCCTCTCGTTTCAGTGTGTGCAAACCTATGTCATCGACTCTTATGAGAGATATGCAGCCAGCGCTGCAGGCGCGGCGGCCTTTGTGCGAACGATGGCCGGGTTCAGCTTCCCTTTATTTGCACCAAGATTATATGATGTGTTGGGTATTGCTTGGGGCAATGTGTTGCTTGCTGGTATTGTCTTTGTGATGGGGTTGATTGTGCCCTTTGTGATGTGGAGATGGGGCGCGTGGCTTAGGAGTAAGAGCCAGTACTGCGCTGGCTGAAGAGGGTATCAAATGTTTGTTGCTTACCAGGTCTTGTGTTCATAACTACGAGTACTCAAGACGTCACTGACTAATTTTTGGAGTAGAGTTGCGATGCCAGAAATGATTTACGATGGATAACTAGAAATATGACCACTCATCTTTGGCCTAGATAGGTATTCATCAAATGGGCTCAGCAAATTGAATCGCTAGGGTTTCGTCATCATTGTCTCTAGCCCTCGAACATATGATCAAAGTATTGTTCGCGTGAGTCTAAAGGCTACTGGGATAGGCGAGCGGTCACATTCCCGCCACCTTCGAGGCTACTCTAATTGAGATCTGAAACTACAAGCGCCTTCAGATTAAGGTTTATCATCCATCAACTGTAGTCTCAAGACACTAAACTAGTACACTACGGTCAAGGTCTTTGTCACGTTGGTTCAGCATGACAGGCAGGTAGGCAAAGGTAGGTAACAGCCTTCTCACAAGCAGCGTTACTTCTCAGGAACTAGCATTTGAAGATCAATCATTCTCCAAGATATTTAAGTCCTATGAGAGCCCATTCAATATTTCTGGTTCTCGCTGACCTCACTCCTACCAAGCCGTCAAACACACTACTTCGACTTTTTGCTCGCAACTCTACACACTACGACTCGACGCCTATCTCGCTTCGACTACCACCACCGATCATGGACATTCTTACACTTTCTCGCAGAGACCTGCTGTCATGCTTGACCTTCGAGCGCAAATCCCCCCTCCCAAGATCATGGTCGGCGCCGCTGTCGTTCACCGGGGACCTGGTGGCACCGAGACTTTGATCCTCAAGAACAGGCCCAACCACGGTAGTAGTCGCAATCTTCATGAAATTCCCGGGGGTTAGATGAAGGGCTCTGATGACACCGTTGAAGACGCCATTCTCCGAGTTGTCGCTGAGTCGGTCATGCTCCTGGTAATTGATATCAAGAATTGCCTTCCGCCAACCCTAGACATCCAGGAGGAGACTGTGGAGTATGGGTCTGCCAAAGAAGAGGATACTACAAAGAATGACGCCACAGGCCAGCATGCCGCAGGCCCGTCAGCCCAGACGACTGTGATCAAGCGTCCGGTGGTCCGTTTCAATTTTGTTGTCGTTGTTGGAGGAGATGAAAATGATTTCCAGCTCAACGAAGAGGAGCACAAGATGAGGATTTGGGTTGATGCAGAGAAGAGCATTGATATCGACGTGGCAGATGCTATGAGAAAGGTCGTCGACGAGGCGCTTGAATGTAGCTACATGTAACCCTGATCGGACAGCAGTCAGGTCATTGCCCCATGTAGGCGCCTGCCTTAAGCCACCTCAGGTAGAATGAAATAAGAGATCACGAGCATTGAACACACTGTAACTGCGTATTTCGACTGTATTAAGGGTATATTTCCAATAATTAAATTAATAGCTTTCGTGTGCCCACACACTAATAAGTAATGCAACGACAGTTCGCAACCCGGGATATCAAAGCTGAAGCAAACCCATCACCAATCTTCTTCCGTCATCCATCGTTTTGTCCTGCTACAGCTCCTTAAATCGACGCTCTGGCAATGTTCTTGCCCTGGACCAGACCAGGACCCTTCTCAGTGAAGAAGGTCTTGGCCTTGGCGGCGCTGACGATGAAACCAGGCAGCTTCATCGTGTTAAACTGGCCTGTGGCCTTCTTCTTGCCAATAGTCACAAACACCTGCGGCTTGAGCGTGAGCTTGAGGTCCTTGACCTTGGTCTCGTTGCCGGTGAGGACCGCATCGAGGTTGTCGGCGAGGTGCAGCGCCTGGCCTTCGGCGCGCATGAGCTGTTTCGCCTCGAGGTTGCCGATGTCGCCGACGCCCCAGACGTTGGTAAGGCCCTCGACGCGGAGGTCGTGCTTGAGCTTCAAGTTGCCCTTGTCATCGAGGAGGTGCTCCGGGATGAAGGAGGAGTTGGGCCGAACGCCAAACAGGGGCAAATACAGATCCGCGGTGAGGGTCTCGCCGTTGGACAGCTTGATGGACTTGAGGGCGCCAGAGGTGTTGGCCTCGGTGACGCGGGCGTTGGTGACGAGCTTTACCTTGAGCTGCTGGAGGTTCTTGGCGGCGATCTTGCCGAGCTGGGGAAGGAGGCCGGGAAGCGGCGCGTCGCCCTCGACGATGAGGGTGATTTGCTTGGTGGAGCCGTAGGCGTGGCCAAGCTCACCGGCGGTCTCGACGCCCGTGGTGCCGGCGCCGGAAACGATGATGGAGTTGGCGACCTTGACCTCGGACTGGAGGTTGTGCCATGCGGTGAGGGTCTCTTCGTGGGTGCCGATGGTCTTGAAGGGGACGCCGCTGGCGAGGGAAGAGCCGGTGGCGATGATGAGCTGGGCGTATTCGAGAGACCTCAGGCCCTCGTTGGTCTCAATTTGCACAGTGTTGGTGGTCGCGTCGAAGGTGGTGGCCTTGCCGAGGACGAACTCGAAGGCATCCTGGGGATACTTCTCGAAGCCGGGCTTGATTTCGTTGAAAAGAGTGTCGTCGGAGAACTCGCCGGGAATAAGACCGCGCACGGCGGCGCAGTTCCAGTAGAGGTGAGTCGAAGGGGAGACGAGGATGACCTTGAGATCCTTGGCCTTGGGCTGGGTGTACTTGAGCAGCTTGTGGGCGACGCCGAGGCCTGCGTAGCCTGCGCCCAGAATCACGACCTGTTTGACCATTTTGAGAGGGTGTTTTGTGTTGTAGAAATTGATGAGGCACGAGTTGTTGTTGTTGCTGTTGTTGTTATTGTTGTTGTTGAGGAATAAGTATTGACGGTGTCGAAGGTCAGATTAACTTCCCTAATCAAGGGAGAAAGTAAGCAAGGTCGCCGGTATTTGGGGGCTGGAGGTTGAGATGTGACGGTACGGGATAGCCGTGGGGGAGTGCGGGAGTAGACAACTTTGACAGAGCATCCAACGAGACACAGTTGCTTGGACAAAGAGATCTACAGTAAGAAGAGAAGGTAGAGGGCGCAGGGTCTAGAAGAAGGGTGGGAGCGAGGAGGATAATGGATGATTTTTATCGATACAAAGGCAGAGAATTCGGGGACTTTTTAGCTGACGCCCTGGGCTTCGGCCGAATCCTTCCCATCCCCAAAGAGGTACCACACATGCCTGCACGTTCACGTATTTACCTACCTAGTTGCACTACGGCTCGGTCTTTTCCCTGTACATCGTTGCTCTCGCGTTGGATGGGACCAGTCGAGGACCAATCCAATGTTTCAGACGAAGCGGCGCTCGGATTATTCAGCTTGAGCTTGCGTGTGACAAGCGAGATTGGGCTTTGTAAAGCTTGGTGTCCTTTTCTTTTCTTTTCTTCTTGCGGTTTTGGGATCAGACGCATGGAGCGGGTTAATCGTAGTGCTATCCGGAGACTGAGATATGCTACAAGCAAAAGACGTGGAATAAGCCGTACGGCAGATGTACCGCCAGACAATGTCCGAAGCGCGTCCACTTCAGCACGAACCAACCAACATGGTAAAGGTAGGGATTCGGTGCGGCAGGGGTCCGAAAGGCCAGGCCGAGTCAAGGCAACGGCGCGGCGGGTGCCACGGCATTAGTCAGAGGTAGCGCGCGCGCGCGCTCTCGAGGAGAACGGGGACAGAAGATGCAGTTTTTCCTCTTTTGATCATATGCTTGTTGCTACATTGACTGCGGAGTCTTGGGAGAAACTGGCCAGATGCCGCGCCAAGTGGCTGTATTACGGGCCCTCTCGCCCTTTGTTGCTGTACTGTGCCACTCGGGATGCCGCGCGCCGGAAGGAAAGGTCGCGACCCAATGAATAGCCTTCACCAATCGTTGATTCCCAAGATTCGCATCCGGTCTAGATCCCCTGGTCGGCAGAAGTATTAGAATTTAGATGATTAGAGTGGGAGATCATAAATGGGGACGGCTTGAATTGTCTTTTTTTTTTTTTTTTTTTGGTGGTGTCCCTGGAGTCAGTCCTAGAGCGTTGCCTTAGTCAGGGGGTTGGTCGGCGCATTGGTAATACTCGCGCGCGTCGTCTTACCTAAGCTTCCAATGACAGTGGAGGAGTGGGAGCAATGAGTGGAAGCAAATTCAAGTGGTGCACATCCGTATACCTACCATCAAGCCATCATTGAAGATTTGTGCTGGTAGTGTCGGCCAAGATACAGTCCGTTCGCCGTATTTTCAGTTCATGATGGCCCTGGCTTCGGTCCCGGTAGGCGCGGCGCTCGGGACCGAGTGGATCCCGCTAGATCGTATGTGGTCACAGTGTGTCACTAAGCGCCGCACGGATATTTCGGCGGTCTCACTCTCATCCGCCACTCTCTCAGTCTCTCTCATTCTCACATTCTCACATTCTCACTCTCACTCTCACCTTGATCTCCCGCTCTGAGGCACTAGAATCTGACATACTTCAATTCACAATCACGTCAACGTCTGCGGGTTATTTGTGTGCAAAGTGAATGACATTTCGCGGAAAAGCATGCTGGGCCACAGTGTAAGGACCAACGGCCATCGACGGAACTTAATGACACTCCCAAGCTCGGATGATCATTTCATGACGCCAATAAGCTTTCGCTATTGGACCTCGATCATAACGACTTCCTCGCATTCAATTGCTCATCAAAGCTTGTCTAGGAGCTATGACGCCAAGTCACCATTTTGCACAAGCACTGCACGCATTAATGCAAGCTTCATCCTTCACACCACTTCCAGACGGATCCCCTTGCTGCCTTTCTTCGGCATTGCAACAGCAAGGTCATAATCGTACTCAATATCGGCATCTGTCGTCTCATACAATCTCAATTGCGGCAGGACGCGCAACGTCATGGCAGCAATGGCCACGTGAAGCTCGCAGTATGCCAGCCTGCGTCGGTCAGCTGAAGCTCAAAAACTTTTGAACCGTCGGTTCATGCGGGAACCATCGCTAAGAGAGTGAGAAACTTACTGCATGCCCAAACACTGCCGGCTTCCTTTGGAGAACGTCAATAGGTACCGTTCCAAACCCCGCCTTCTCTGCCCATCTCCATCAAGCCATCTCTCAGGAAGGAACTTGTTTGAGTCGGGAAACACCCTCTCGTCGTGATGCATGATCCACGCCGACATACCGCTCGCATATCCTCGCGGTATAACATGCGTCACCTCCACCGGTGCCGAGGCGCCTGGCGGCGTCCACGTGCCTTGGTAGACCAAATCTTCGTCCGGTGCGATTCGAGGCAGTCTCGATGGGGAACCATAACCCATCCGCAGTGCCTCCATGATAGAGGCCCCAAAGTAAGGTAGCCTCTCCAGAGTGGCCCAGGTCGGTATCTGCTTTGGATCCGTCGTGACGGAGAGAAGCTCGGCTTCGATCTTCTCAACGACGACTGGGTTGCGGAGCAAGTGATACGTGCACACGCTGAGTGCCGAGGCTGTTGTCTCGGTGCCAGCAGCAAGCATCACTGTCGCCTCGCCAGTCAGTCGCTTGATTGTCTTCTCTTCAGGTGGCAGGTCTGATTCCAGAAGCGAGTGGATCACCGTCGTACGGTCGCGTTTGATACCGGCCTCGTATGCTGACTTGGTCTGTCTGACCATCTCCGGCATTTTTACCTGGCTGGTTAGCATTGGGCGTATGTAATCTCCGTCACAATCTCTCACCTTGGATTGCTCAGCGAGTGCTCCCATCTTCGACGATAGTCTTCTGATGACGTCCCTATCCATGTTTAGCATCTATCAAACGAACATGCAAAAAGGAACACTCACAACGGAACAGCCTCCATTAACCATGTCGTCCACGGGAAGTGTCTCATGATGTGGATCAACTGCAACATGACATAGACTGCCTCCTTGAAGTTGGGCTCCCAATCAGGCTGATGAAGGAAGCCGAATGGCTGCCCGAAGCAATAATCACTGACGATGTCGGCTGTGAAGCAGCTGTACGCTGACGCGGCTTCGAATGGTCCACGACCCTGGTACCGAAGGAACTTGTCGCATAGCCGCTGGGCATCTTGATGAATCACCCATTCCAATTTGGCAATTTGTACCCGGGAAAAGTACTTGCTCGCTGCCGCTCTGCGGAGGCGGTGATGAGCGTGATCAACAGTGCCAAATCCTCCCTGACGACTAAGTTAGCCGACTTGAAAGGTTGATTTGGATCGCCTTTTGAAGGTTGCTCACATTTTTCAAGCTACACATCATGTGTCAGCCTACTATATTTGTAGAGCGATACCTGGGATAGGGCGACTTACTCTGCTGCAAAGCCCTCTACGAACATTTTCGACTTGTTGCGCTTCTTGTTTCCATTCGCGTAGATGATGTCCACAAACTCAGGGTCATTGCAGTGAACTTCATCCGGGTTGATCCGGACGATGGGACCTGGACGCATCAGATGATATCAGCATCGGCCAGTTCCAAAGACGCACGTCAAGTTGACGTTCAAGTTGACGTACCGTAAATTTCGTGGAGACGTTTGATCTCATGTGTGAACTTCCCCCAGCGCACCACGTCGAACCAGACTTCGTACCAATATGTCGCGCCGGCGAACTTCGGGCCGGGAAACTTTGCCAACGGGTGTAGGGTGACTCTGTATATTGCCAGGAAAGTTCCGTAGAGCGCCCACGCCGCGAGCCCGACTCCAAGGATCTGGGTCCATCGGGCGGCGGCCCAAGAGAATGAGGGAAAGAAAGAAAAATCTCTGGTAGACTCCATGCTTCGTCTGTGAGAAAGCCTAGGAAGCTGATGTTTCCTTGGAGAAATACACTAATATAGAGGTATGGAAAAATTAGAGTCTTAAGGGATGGTCCACGTTTACAAGACGCATTGAGGGTTCAGACGGCTGAAAGGAATCCCCACCGTTTGGTAAAGGGGGATCGCGGATCGAGAGGTGTATGGGGTCTAGACATGTGCATGGCTCGTGCTATCAAGAGCCACAAAGACGCATGTTGGCCGTTCCTGGCCATTAGGCTTTCGCCACAAAAGCCTTTGATAGCCACAGCTTGAGCCTGGACCACAGCGATCTTCAAGACAAAAGACGCCATAGATTGTCATTGTATCTGGCTGGTAGGCCCATGTCGAGGGACCGATGCTCTAACGTCAGAGTACCATCAGTCTGCTCCAAGTTGAGTGGCCATGAACACCGTGGTTGGTGAATCGACCCAAAAGACGCTCATGTGTCTGAGGTGTGGGCAGATTCTCTGTCTTGACTGCCGAGTAGCGCATTGGGTTATGGCCTTGTGGATGATGTTGGTGGCTTTTTGACTGGAATGAGGCGTACCAGGAATCAGGACGATGTCTCAAGCCACTTCGCCCTAAGAGCAGCTAAAAGCGGGCTGAGCACGCCAGTAACCTTAGCTGTCAAAGCTGTTTCCAAAATGCTGGCTAAGCCTTCACAGGTCCAATAGACGGTGATCGATGTTGGCATACGCGAGCATCCATGCTAGAGTTCAACTCCGGCTGATGAGGTTTGGAGGCAAAAAGAAAAAGACACACTCGCATTTCGCTGCTGATGATGCCTTGCTAGAGAAGATGAGATTTATATCTATGTCATTGGTCTTATACTCCTATGAATGTAAAAGATTATTCTCTGGTTTCTACTACCGTATATACCTAAAAGCCCGAGGTACTCTCCCACCCTAGCACTTTCTGGGATACTTAAAATGCATCGACTATTTAACACGTGAGAGCGACGACGCAGACACAGCGGCAAAGATTTCGTCCTCGGCTCCATCCTCCAAAGGCAATAAAGGTGACCTAACGGTCGCATGTTCCAAGATTCCCCTCGCAACCAACGCGTGCTTCAACGCCACGGTGCCCTCCATGTGCGATCCTCGATGGTACACAGCCTTGGTCACCGGCAACAACTTGTCGTGGATCTCCCTCGCTCTGGGGTAATCCTTTGCCTTGCCAGCCTTGATTAACTCAATCAGAGCCTCGGGCGCAATGTTGCCGTAGCCAACCAGGAAACCATCAACATCAAAGGCCGTGTGCAAAAGATACTCGTCATGGCAGGTGAGAATCTGGAGATCCGGCCTCTCCTTTCGGATAACGGGGATCTCGGTGTCCCACCGCCTCATGTTTCGGACACCGTTTTTCATCGCAAAGACACCAGGTTGCGCCGAGATATCGAGAAGAGTCTGCAGGTTGTACGTTGCTTTTGTGACGTCCGGGTATTGGAACAGAATCAGCGGCAGTCCGCTGACCTCAAAGACGCGCTTGTACCGGTCCTGCGGGGCACCGGGCTGGTAGCCGAAGCGGAGCCAGCCGTGCGAAGGGTACAAAAGGCCGGCTGAGGCACCGGCTTCCCGGGCGCGCTTAGCTTCGAGGGCGGCTACTTCGGTGCCTTCTCCCGTGATGCCGGCAATGATGGGGGTACGGTTGTCGACGGATTTGACAAAAGCCTTGATGACGGCGAGTTGTTCGTCTTGCGTGAGGAAAGTGCCCTCACCGGCGTGGCCGAGAACGACAAGACCCTTGACGCCTGAGATGCTGCCGAGCCACGATCCAAGACGGTGGATAGCATCGTAGTCTACGCTGCCGTCCTTGTTGAAGGGGGTGACGGGGGCAGGGGTGAGACCGCGGAGGTCAAGGCCGACATTGGAACCCATGGTCGAGATAGGTGATGTCTTTTGGTAGGGGAAGGTGTATAGAAGTTGTTCTGGGGTTTTTAGGCTTTGATGTTTGCTTTGACTAGTGAAGAAAACAGAAGTCTCGAGATACGGTCTGCAATGATGCTTTTATAACAAGATCATGATGAGCTTCACACACAACATTTCTTGGCGGCTAGATGAGCTCGCGTTTGAACATATGCCGAAGTCGCGTCTAATAAATTCGGCACCCCGCAATGTTTTCCATGAGTTTAGGAGAAGAGTGAATGCTAACAGCGTATGTTTGGAGCTGACTGGTAGCCCCGCTCATCCGAACCGCCGTGAAATGGTAGCTTTCTTTTCCGGGAAGAATCCGAGAAATACAAGTCCGAGAGGCCCGGAACCACGACTCATGCCCACTTAAAGAGGGGCCAGATCACGCAGGCAACAACCAGGAGCACTAGGAAAGAGTGCCAGGATGGGGCTTGACAAGTCCGGGCTCGTCCAATTGTCACCCCATCCACATGCCGCAACCTTGTCATAGGTTGTGTATTCCTGAACTTTGGTGCAGAGGATTGCAGAATGAAAAGCGCGACTGTCTCGGCATGCGCGACAGCAACGCATTGCAGAGACACTCCCCGCCTCTAGCAACGCCTGACTCTTGAGAATGAAGTCAGGTCAAACATTCTTAATCCAGTCAGTTCCGACCATAATCCTGTAATCCGGGCTCCCATCGATGCTGACGCTAAGCATGAGTGGCTTGACGCTACTATCAAGACTGGAAAATACGTGTTTTCCGAGCCATTCGTCTTTTTCGAGAACCCCAGCGCCAAGGGCGGTACCCCAGATTCTTTGAAAATTTCCCCCGCAACTCTAGAGTCGACCGGAAGTTTATACCGCTTCCCCAGGTTCATAGTCCTGATTTGATATGATGACTCCATCAACCGCTTTTCAACTATAAAGCCGAGTCGCGACGACTTTCTAACTTTGAGAAATTCCTTCATGACGATCATTTCATCCAGTGGAGAGCTTTCTGACAAAGAGAAAGTGTCACCACCCGAATCTGCATTAGGAGACATGGGTGTCAATAGAGTCTCTTCGGACCGCTCCGACATCGAACACGTCTCTCATGAAAAAGACTCTGTTGCCCACGATGAGTATCAACGCAATGGCAACCTGAGTCCGGATGATGTTGCGTTCCTCGGCACATTTCCAGAGGACAAAAAGAAGAAAGCAGTTCGGAAGGTCGACGTACGTACCCCTCGATTGTCACTCTCTCCTAATTTGCGCAGTACCTGGTGTACCTAACAATAGAATCTAACTCGCATCTCCAATAGTACCGACTCATGCCGATGTTGATATTGCTTTACCTCATGGCGTATCTCGACAAGACCAACATTGGAAACGCTAAGATCGAAGGGCTATTAGGTAGCCTCAATATGACGGGCGTCGAATACAACATCGCTGTCTCTGTCTTTTTTATCCCTTTCGTACTGGCAGAGGTACCGAGTAACATGATCCTTCACATGTTCAAGAGGCCTTCTCTCTACATTGGTGGTATTGTCACATGCTGGGGCGTTGTCATGACCTGCAACGGCGTGGTGCAAAGCTACGGTGGTCTAATTGCTGTCCGAATATTCCTGGGCCTGTTTGAGTAAGTCATCACCTTTCGATGGTTGTGTCAAACGTAGCAAATGTTTACTCGTGAACAGAGCAGGTTTCCTACCAGGCGCTATCCTGATCATCTCCAAATGGTACCTTCCAAACGAAACACAGACTCGGATAGCTCTTCTCTACACGTCTGCAGCATCCGGTGGAGGCTTCTCTGGCCTGCTAGCATTTGCCATTGCAAAAATGGATGGTGTTGGAGGATACGAAGGCTGGCGCTGGGTTCGTCCGGAAGCTGTCGCAATTTGCCTGGAATCTACTGACAATGTCTTAGATCTTCATACTCGAAGGTCTGGCTACAGTGGTTATTGGTGCCATGTGCTTCTTCTTCCTCGTCGACTCCCCCGCTCTGTCGAAGTGGCTTGACGACGACGAAAAGCGTTACCTTGAACTACGACAAGAGGCCCGGCGGGTTTATCGACCGAGCGAGTTCAGAGAGAAGCATTTTGATAAGCAAGCTTTATTTTCTGTCCTGACAGACTGGAAGATTTACCTCTTGATTTTCGCAAATTGGTCAAATGCAATACCGAATTATGCCATGAAGTTTACGATGCCGCAGATTATTAAGAACATGGGTTACACCTCGGCCAACGCTCAACTGTTGACGATGCCGCCGTATGTAGTCGGGGCTATTTCGGCCTACGTCTTTTCAGTATTCGCTGACAGATACTCCTGGCGAATGCCCTTCATCATCGGTCCACAGCTTTGTCTCGTGGCTGCGTTTAGTATCTTGTTCACAAAGAGTGCCGACATTAAAGACAACATTACGTTGTGTTATTTTGCCGTGTGTCTGGCCTGTTTCGGGTAATTCTCTCTCCATCTCAAGACACTAGCCTGTTGAATATGGAAGACCCTGAGGAACTAATTCACGATCGACAGAATGTACCCGATCCTACCTGGAGTCAATGCCTGGAACGTAGCAAATACGCCGAGCCCGGAGAAACGAGCCATCAGCATTGGCTTTTTAGTTTGTGTCGGAAACATCGGTGGCCTGATCGGCAGCTACATCTACCTCGACAAAGAGGCGCCGACATATCCCACTGGTTTTGGTACATCGTTTGGATTTGCTTCGGCCGGTATAATTGCTGTTGCTGTTCTCGAAATATTGTTGAAGAGGTTAAATGATAAGAAGGCGCTCCAGGCTGAAGATGAAGTCAGAGACAGGTACACTGAAGAAGAGCTGGGCCGCATGGGGGAGAAGAGCCCGTTGTTCAAATATGCTCTCTGAAGGATGCTTGAGCACTTCCAGATACTACTACAACTTGACGTTCGTTTTCAAGATACACGCGTTCTCAAGCTATCATATCCGTGCATTGTATGCCGTCGTGGAACCTGAGGTTTTCATGTGTCTCCAAAGGCTATTAGCCAAGCAAGCGCAGAGAATCAATGAAGACTGCCTGATCTAACAAGGCTCTATATCCCATTCTTGATCATCATGTATGAACCATCCCGCAGGAGATCGAAAGTTCCCAATTCCGTAGTCTACTTACCCATCGAGCCAACTCGTCGCCCACCACACCACCCTCAACCTCAACTTCTCAAGTCGATTGAGGCAGGTTACCACCAGCATCCACCTCAGTGGATCGACTACTCGACTATCACGGCCGGTTGGCCCAATGGCAAGGCGTCTGACTACGATTAATTATGTTATCAGGAGATTCTGGGTTCGACCCCCAGGCTGGTCAAGCGAGTATACTTTTGCAACTATCATAAGATAATCTAGCTTGCGGCAGGGGGAGTATTCTCTTTTGTCAAATCATCCGGTATCTTGAGTCATTTTCTTGTAGGATTGAGTAGTATTGTTTTGAGTTATTGATCTTTCATGAATCGTGAGTAGGGTATCTGCCGTAGGCTGCTTGGATATTCTAGTAGCCCAGAGACTCGTAAATGGCGCCGAATCCCTTGAACTGCTTGAAAGCCTTGACCTTTGGCCCGTTCATGGGTTCCATGCCCTTATCTCCCTTCTCAAGCGCCTTGCGGTACGCCGGGCGCTCGGCAACATCCTTCAGGTACCTCAGAATGTTCTTGTGCTCCGACAAGTCCAGAAGAGGGTAAAAACCACGCATGGTGGTCAGAGTGAAAACCGTCATGATATCCGCAGCGCTCAGATTCTCGCCGGCAAGCCACTTGTTGTTAGCTAAGCGGTTATCGATCAGCTTGAGAGCCTCGTGGGACTTGACTTCCATCCGCTTGCCAAAGTCACTTTGCGAAGCGCCGGCGAACAACAGGGTCATAGCGCGGCCGAGAGTGGGCTGAAGAGTGCCGTTTGCGAAATGAAACCATTCGAGGTAGGCGGCGTAATCGGCGTCATCGGGGGTACGAAGGAGTCTCGGGGCTCCTGAGCCGACCTTGGTGCCATGGACGTTGAGAATGTACTCAACGGTTGCACCAGACTCTCCGAGCTCGACTGGCGGTGAAACAGTGCTGTCGCGGAAATACGGTGCGGTTCCGGCGGGGTTCTGACTCGTTCAGTTGTCTATCCACTATCCACAAACTCTGCTAGAAATACTCACAATCTCCTTGATTTCCTTAGGTGCGAGACCTGTTATGGGGTCTCTTTGGAAGACATGCAACTTGTATGGTACTTCAAGTTCCTAGTAAAGTCTTAGCGATTGCAGATCTAGATAAGTATTTGCTTGTCGCCAACCTCCAAAAGCCATACGATTCTCTCAGATTGAGAGAGTCCAAGATGGAAAACTTCGATAGACATGTTGGAGAATTGTTTCGATACGAGTCAGATAGAGATATATGCTCGGTGTCGTTGAATCTGTCTGCCTCGAGGTAAAAGAGCTGAGGGGTCGGCCCGCATGATATAAAGTAACAGGTCCGCTAAGGGATCGGCTGGTCCAGAGGGTTGTGTGCCGCCATGTTGACGTCAGGGGTCCAGGAGCAGAGTTCACGAGCGCAGCAAGCTGCGACGAAGCGAACGGTGCTGCGGTCGGTGGGTCGAAATTCTGGAGAGCCGGTGCAACTGTGAAAGCCGCCGTCCGCCTCAGAGGGGCAGCGGACAGGGACCGGCTCGGGTTGTCCGGAGTAGAGCGGGGGATAGCGGGGCAGACGATCGGATTTAGGGAGAATTCTGGTGGGGGTGGATGGACTGACCGTCCGATCGTCCGATAGACAGTCTCCCAGATCTCATCCACATCGGTGCCGAGCTACCTCTAAGGGATGATAGTGGGAGGCCGTGGGTTGCAGACTGCTGTCTACTCGGATGATGGTTGTTAGAGTGCTGGACTTATCCCCGCGCTATTGTCTGTGAAGATTTCAGCTGCATCGTTTCTGCAGCGCTGGAGTCAATGATGATGTGCAGCAGGGATCAAAGCTCGGGAGTTGGCATATTTGTCATTCCATTGAGGGGGGTCACTAAGGCCAATTCGGGCCACAAATCCGACTCTTTGTGCAAGTATCGTAGTATTTAGCTCCTGAATGATATCATTGCATAACGATTTATCCATACGTCTCTTGCGAGTTATCTGTATGCATAGAAACAGGCGAGGCCGTACTATCTGCCGGCTCGTCATAAGCAGTTTGATGCATAGGCCATATCGAGTATACTGGACGAAGTTACAAACTTACACAATCTGATTGTAAGCACGCAACACGTGGCCAACACATGTAGAGATTGCCCGGCAACAATCCCCATTGGACAAGCTCCTCGTCGAGAGATATTATCCTTTATCAACAGCATGTGAAGCGAGGGGGCATCATGGAAACAGACTCTGAGAATAGGGAGCCCGGACTTGTGGAGGGTATGAAGGTTTCGATCCAACCGATTTGCTCATCCTTGCCCCGCATTTCAGCCGAGCTTTGAGCGGGCAAGGGGGCCGGTCTGTTTGCTGTGTGTTGTGTTGGTGGCCGGTTTGTTTGCTCCCCTTAATAATCAGCTGGCCCCTGACTTTTGCTTTTCCGGACTACTCTCTACGCACAAACTCCTAGCCAGATCTGCGTGCCACACCACGCGAGAGGCGGAAGGTATTTCTCGATTTGTTCCGGTACGAGATATCCTCCGTTATGACCCACCTACGTTTTCACCATATGCCGTAATAAGACGAAGCGCACACATTCGGAGCGCCGAACCCGGTGTAGGCGTCGTTGTGGGTGCTGGAATCGACGTGGTAGTCCGGGGGATCGGACTTGAGTCAGTGGAGACAGTCAGCAAACCCATCGGAGGGTCGGATATCAGTGGATGGTGGTAGGATGGCCGACACACCGGCGGAAACAACGGCGAGCACCGACACTGGTCTCCGCGATGATGCCCCTGCAGTGACATCCGCCCCGACACCTTCGTCAAACATTTCACAACCATCCCCATCTAGTCTCCCGTCGACTACTACCGATCGGAGGAAACGTAGCTTGCCCGAGGGCTCGCCTGAAGGGCCTGACGAGGGCCGTTCATCATCGGCTACCGCCGCCGCCACTGCCGCCTCTAATCGGCGAAGAAGTCACAAAGTTAGTCGCGCATGCGACTTTTGCAAATCTAAGAAACTGAAATGCTCCGGAACGATACCCTGCGACGTCTGCACCCGGAAACGTCTCTCCTGCATCTACGACGCTATCTATCGACGGGGTAGACCGCCGACACCTCCCCCAGCTGGCAGTTCTAGCCACGAGACATCTGAAGCTCGTTTGGCACCGACAACTTCTCTAGAGGCGCAAAGGTATGTCGTTGTAAGAGTCTAGCAGTATTTGACCATGGCTAGAATTGCAGTTGACCATTCACAGAAGACCACTGCCCTCTGCGGCGCCTCTTCCATCCCTAGCTCCGCGTGATCCCCCTCTTCCCCGCCAGGGTGCGGCTCGGCCGAGAAGCGTTGATCTTGTGGTTGAGGAACCGGAAGTCGTAGGGGGTGGCCGCCGTAGCCTTCTGCCAGTTTCGCGAGCCTCGCCAGAAGTCGAGATTGCCGAAATCGAAGGGCAGTATGTTGACACCACGTCAAGTCTAACGTTCCTACACCGAGCGTGGAAACGACTTTCGTCGCAGAAATCCAACACCACCGATGTTCCAGGAAACGTACCGAGCGGCACCGAACAGCACCAGAGGTTAACGAGAGCAGGGGACAAGCCTTTTGATTCGCAATCTTTGGACGTTTCGACTCTCCCTGACCAGTCGGTCGGCTTGAACATGCTGGACTTCTACTTTGATGTCTGCGTCGTGACTTATCGATGCCTACACCAAGGCTACGTTGCCCAATGGTTCGAGATTTTGCTCGCAAATGCAAAGAACAACCTCCCGCTACACCACGAAGTCGGCTACGCCAAAGCCTCCATCGTATTGACGATTCTCGCCATCGTTACCCTTCGGCAAAGCAAGGTCCGAGATGTTGGCGAAGAAGAGAGTGCTGACCTTCGACGTAGTGATGCTCTGTTTTGCCAGGCTTTGAGTTTGACGGATATGGAAATCGGGTTGCCGAAGCTAGAGTCCTCACAGGCGCGCCTCTTGCAGGTGCTGTATCTCCTCCAGACATCTCGCATGAACCAAGCGTGGTACGTCTTCGGGAGTATTCTTCCCATCATCTCAGCCCTGGGTCTGCATCGGAAATCCGGACGCAACAGGGCGAGCAGTGACAAGGACTATATCCTGTCGCAGTGCCGGAAGAGGACTTTCTGGGTGGCATACACCATCGACAAGTACCTCTCTGTTGTTTTCGGCCGGCCGAGAATGTATCGCGACGACGATATCGACCAGGACTTCCCCGACTGTGTCAACGATGAGGACATGACACCCCAAGGTAGATCAAATGACGAGCCAGAAATGGACTGCCACGTTGAGAGTCTCATCTTCCACGCTAAACTCGCTCAAATCATTGACGGTATCTCTCGCGAGGTGTACTCGATCAAACCCGTCCATAAGGACGATCGTCTTATGATTGCGCATCGATATGGGAAGGCTCTACACCGGTGGCGTGAGTCTTTGCCACATCATTTGGGAACCGTTCGGCCCATGTCTCTGATTCCATCATTCAGAAGGCAGAATACAGCCCTCAAGCTAGCATATTGCCATGCCATCATGCACGCCAACCGCCCCTTTCTCCTTGGAACGGGTGGCCCAAGACATGGTCAGCGATCTCCCCTAGACGACAGCATAGATGAATGCATCACCGCAGCCAAGACCGCGCTTGAGACGGTTGACGGCATGGCTAGCGACGGAACCTTGTTCCACGCCTTCTGGTGGACACCATACGTCACCTTTTGTGCACTCGCTGTAGTGTACGTTTATGAGATTCAAAGAGGGAGACAGGATCCGGAAAGGGGGCTCTTTGAACTGGCGGATCGCTGTCAGAATCACTTGACGAAAGCAACGTCTGCCGAGAGCCCCAGCCGCAGATACTCTGTCATTCTCGAAGAGCTTCGACAAGAGGCCACTCCTCGTTCAGAAGGTCCTTCAGGCGACGAGAAGAAGCTAATCATTGAGCGTGCCGATCATGGAATTGCGGAGCCGATGCAACTGGACGAGAGTTCGGGCCTCCCAGCACCGCCAGCCGATATGGGAGAGGTATTCCAGCAACACGGGTTCGAAGGGATGACGAACCTTCTGAGTGGCTGGGAGACGACGGACTGGCTGGACTTGGACTCTTCGGTACACGATTTCCTCTAGAGTTTTCAACTAGGGTGTTGAGCTGATTGTCTTCAGGCCTTTGCTACGTTTCCCAACTCTGAAGGATCGCCAGTCTACTGGATGCCGGATGTCCAATGATCGCGCATGGAGTACGAGGTTCGTCCGGCTGACAAGGATATCGTAATGGCGTACCGTGTTTGAGATACCAGGTAACAAGAGCTATCTGCTGTACAAATTAGTTGTTAGACAGACAAAGCATTCGGATCGGGCGCGAGTTGTAGGGAGGAAGGGAGCAACGCACGCTCGATCGGTAACACGGCAAGCCTGAGCCTCCAAATCCACAATCCGCCAGAATCACCGGAATAATAAATACTGCATGTTCATCCAGATTGAGGCGAGGTGGTCTCGCTTTGCGGGGATGAAGCGGCTTGTCAAGCCGAGCCCCTTCTTTCAAGCTTCGTCTAAACTCCACCAGAGCTGTTCATCGCCAACTTGCTTCGACGTGGGATCCCAGCTTGTTCGGCAATAAAACATGAACCTGCAGATACTAAGCGCGGGAGTATCACCCGTGCCCGGCATGACCGGTAGAAATACCCTGTCCAATTATCCGCACAGATCAACAACGCGGCATGCCACCACTTCCCAAGGCTCATCAGCCTCCGCGCTGCAAGGCACCCCCTTCGGGAAGGCCAATGCAAGAGCCACTTTGGACAACGGATACCGGCACCCAGAGTTTCCCAAAAGAGCCGGGTTTCCCTTCCGGAAGCCATGGCAAGTGCCGAAGAAAAGCTTTTCAGACAAGTCCAGATGAACCAGTTTCTCTTTGCTTTCGGATGAGACATGGGCTTTAGCACGGCCCCCAACCAACCGGCTAAATTGACGATGATGACCCCCTTTTCAACACGACCCTGGATGTGGGGTAACGAGATCATCGGGTTTTACACATAGTGCATGCGGCCCCTAATGCTATTCGCGAGCGGCGGAAGGGAAGTCTACAAAAGTTGCCAGATGCGTCACAGGATGCTCTGTCGATAGCTTCCTTCGCTTGGTTCCCTGTGACTATAAGCAGTTGCTCAAGAACGTACCCAAGATCGTTCACCAGAGACCGAATCAGCACGCACTTGTTTGTAGCAAGTTTATCGCAGCTATGAAATTCAGCACGATTCTCTCCGCCCTTGGCCTGGCAGCCTATGCCAGCGCCGCCTCGCTGCAGCAGGTCACTAGTTTCGGCTCAAATCCCAGCGGCGTCAAGATGTACATTTACGTTCCCGACAAGCTGGCAGCGAACCCTCCCGTGGTCGTGGCCATTCACTACTGCACTGGCACAGCTCAAGCCTACTACAACAACAGCCCCTACAAGACACTCGCAGATCAGAAGGGCTTCATCGTTATTTACCCCGAGTCGCCGTACTCAGGAACTTGCTGGGATGTCTCCTCCAAGGCAACTCTCACGCATAATGGAGGAGCCAACAGCAACTCCATCGCCAACATGGTCTCATACACTCTCAGCAAGTATAACGGCAACAAGTCCAAGGTCTTTGTCACAGGCTCTTCGTCCGGCGCTATGATGACCGTAAGTCAACATTACAACTCAACGAGACAAGTCTCGAGTGACTAATAAGCAACAGAACGTCCTGGCCGCCACGTACCCCGACGTCTTCGCCGCTGGCATCGTCTACAACGGCGTCCCGGCCGGCTGCTTCTACACCGGCACCGTCAACGGCTGGAACAGCACCTGTTCTTCAGGCCAATCGATTGCCACGCCGGTACGCTGGGCCCAATGGGTCTACGACGCTTATCCCGGCTACACGGGATCCCGCCCCCGCATGCAGATCTACCACGGCAGCACCGACACCACGCTCAACTACGCCAACTACCAGGAGACCATCAAGCAGTGGTCCGGAGTCTTTGGATACAACCCAGACAAGCCTACGACTTCTTCTCAAAACACACCTATCGCCAACTACCGCACGGATGTATTTGGTGATCACCTCACTGGTGTTTGGGCTGTTGGCGTTGGACACACCGTGCCCATTCGGGGTGATGACGATATGAAGTTCTTCGGCTTGTAGCCGTGTACGACACGTCTGAATATTCTTGGATATAGGTCGAAGGAGACTTCGGCCACTATCATGGCAGTAAATAAACTAGGGCGTACTATTATTATACCTATTCACTAGGCGTCAGTATGCAATTACTCTCAGCTCCATGACCGCGGTGTGCAATCGGCCTTTGGGAAATGTCGACTTTCCCGCGGAGAAACGTAGTCCGCGGGGATAAGTTATCTGCCGCTGAGGGACGGACCGGAAGCCTGACTCGGGACCGGACCGGTGCTAACTATCTTGAACCGGCCGGCTGCCTTGCCGGTACAAAGATGGAAGCCAGAGATTGTCTGCGGCTTCCCAACGTAGAATCACGAAAAAGCTAACACGAGGGTTGCAATGTTCGAGTTGCGTATCCGCTGCTTTCCTACTCACGAAGCTTAAACTATCCTGCCTTAGGTATGATACGCTGGTCCGAACCGAGGAGCTGCAGAGAGAACATGACGGAGCCTGCCTTCTCGTGTCTCCAAGAGATCTTTCAGCTTGCGGGCGAACCGTGAAACGTTGATCTCGTCCAACATGGAGTAATACTCACCAGGAACATCATGGAACTGCACATCATCCGCAAACTCTCGCTACCGGCTTAGCTTGTTTTCAACCCAATCCTCACAGTCAAAGCAACCTTCTTGAGAGGATCTGCGAAGAACACATCAATGCTGCGGACTCTTCCCCGTGGCTCGTAGTCCTGAGCCAGGCACTGTCGTGAAGATGCCGAAGCCCACCTCACATACTCGTCTTCGCTAAGGCCTAACTCGACCCGAAGAGCTGAGTCGCTGAGGGCTCGGAGGTGCGCTACTGCTTCTTGTTTTGAAAATTGGCGCAATATACATATTTGCTGCATAGCTGGACCCTGTCCCATGAGCCCCGTGAAGTGGAACAGGTTGGCAAGATATTCTACCCAGCCGAGCTGCCTCATGCGATGCTTAATGTGCGGCGGAAGGTTCCAGCGACCGCAGTAGATAGCCACATTGCCTGCTGCCTCTAGTCTCTTACACGATTCGAAAGCAATCATAGAGCCATATGAGTGCCCTGCAATGGCGTAAAGTCCCTTTGGCTGGACCGTTTTGAGGTTATTGAAGAAGCAATCCAGCAACTCATCTAGGGAAACAAAAGGCGAAAGGCCGCTATCAAGACCCTCCGCGCGGAAAGCATAGACTCGCCGGTCGTCGATGAATCTCACAAGATTCATGAAGACAAGCACCTATCCGACACCGGGATGTACGAGCCGCAGTGGCGTCTGCCTGCCGTCAGACCGGAAAGTGACGGCCGGGCTTCCTGCTCCATCTTTGTTCCCGAATCCCTCAATCACCGCAACCAGGCGCTAAGGCGTTAGGTTTCTCAATATTTGGCTGAGCGTGATTTTTTCGCACAACTGAAGTCGGTCTGAGATGAGACGCCCTATCTTGATGAAGTCCATTGACGTAGCACCTAGTGGGAGTATGGGTGTCTGGACGCCCACATGTGGCTCTTGGACAATATTAAAATGCTCCTGAACTACGCGGCAAGCGAGCACCTCAAGATGGGATGCTCTCCCTCCTGTGACGTCGGGATCAACTACGTAGGCCTCGCTCGCTTTGCACAGTTCCGGATTATATGCGCCATTCTCGAAAGCCGTTTTGATTGTACCCCTTGGCAGCTTTACGAGTGCCGATGGCTTGAGACCCATGGCTTTCAGAGGTAGAACAATGACAGACGAGGACGTATGTGTGCTGACAACACCGGCTATCCTATTGCGGGTCTTGGTTCGGATTCGGGTATTATCCTCCTCGTTGAAAGTAAGTACGCGACGACGATTTGTTCAGTATCTGATGATTGGGCTAAAGTTGAGAAGCAACAGAAAGAATTTGGTACCGCCCCTTCGATCAACTCCAGTTCGAGGTGGCGTTCTAGTTCGTTCGAGGAATACTTCGCCACGTTGACAATTATCGTGTCCTTGGATAGTCCTTGTAAGCTTACTTGACCGTCTTGGTTGACGCAAGCGAGGTCGCCAGTAGTGAACCAGTCATCGTCTGTAAAAGCAGCCACAGTAGATTCACGATTATTGTCGTACCTGCCAAGTACTACGTCGCCGGAGAGTTCCAGAAGCTCAACCTGGCCGGTATTTGCAGATTCAGACGAGGATTTCCATCTCGGAGTCTTACTCGAAGCTGTAGTCCAGAGATGCTCTCGTCAGCGGCAGCATGTTGGTGCTTTTGATCTCGATCATAAGTCGGGCAGCTGGTGCTGTAGATGCACCCAGCACAAGTCTCGGTCATTCCGAACTCCAGGACGATGATATGTTTGCATGCACTGTACTTCTCGAGTTGGGTTTGGAGCCTCTCGCAGACATCTACCATGTTTGTCTCTCCTCCGGAACCAAGCCACCAAAGGCATCACATATCTAGATCTCCACCTAACGAAGATGTTTGCTCAGACGCGAGCTCCCTGGAATACTTCGCCAAGAAAGAATGAGGGGCAAAGGTTCGTGAAGCCCGGTGGCGGCTGGCCATGTTTAGTAGCTGCATAGGGCTGGAGAGTACCTCCTCCGCTGCAAGATGCACTTGGGAGAGGCCCATATACATTGCGAGGAGATGGATCTCGGTCAGGCACGCCACTTGGTCCATGCCGATCCAGTTGAGGCAGGGGCCGTCGCCGTGAGATCTCCCAGACTTGGCCTTACCTGCTAACGAAGCTAGTATCTGCCCATGGCTGAGCTGTACCGCCTTGGGTTTGCCAGTCGTACCCGATGTCAGGATCAGAACTGCTGAGTCAAATCGAAAGGGATGGCCGGACGGTGGTAGCGGAGACATCGATCGACTCATCGCTGCAAGACTTTGGGAAGTTGTCCGTTCAACCGGCAACCTCGCAGCAAAGTCCCGCGATTCATTCGTACCTGAGAGTGACCGGTGGAAAATACACAACGGATCTTTCAACAGTATACGTAGATGAGATAGGTAGTCTGATCGATCAGGCTCAAGAATCGACGCAGTTGAGATTGCCGGCAAGAGTCCTGCGATAACAGTCGACCAGAACCAGACTATGGAGTCCAGGATACTGTCGAGGCACAGCATAACGACACGGCGTTCTTCAGCTTCTGGGCCAAATTGCATCCGAGATATCGTCGGAGTCCGATACCAGTCTGTTTCATCGGAGTACTGTGGTATCCTGAAGAAGATGTTTGCCGATTCCTCGTGCATGGAAGGCCAGGCACCTAGCAAACTGCATTAGGTTTGCTCTGGCTTGCAGGGTACAGTAAGAGGTACATGTAAGCAATCATGCAGTCGAAGCCGCGGAAGTCTCATCGATGACGAAAGTGATAGCGAATAGGTTGACAAACAAGTGCAGGTCCTACTGTATCGTCATAATTCCGTGATCATTGAAGTCGAATTTTAGACCCGGCCAGATCTGACTGCAATCCGCAGTGTTTCCATATTGACTCGGATTATCAACATGAACTTTAAGTCAACAACGAGAACCGGGATGCAAAGGCCGAATTTGTGCATAACAGAGTCCTATATACGGCACAATTGCCACGATTTCAATTTATACATGAAGCCAGAAACCGAACAGGTCACCAACAAGCAAGCCAAGCTCCTCATCGTATCAACTCAAACCCTTACTGCAAAGCAGTCACAACCGCATTATAGGCCGCCTTGGGGTTGTAGTTGGCATCAAACAGAAGCGGGTTATTCTGCGCCCTCCAGCTATCGGGGTCGCGCACGCCCCAAACCGTGATACCGACGCACTGCGGAACCTGGAGACAGGCCTTTGTTACAGCCGTGTAATCAGCGGCACTGGCGCCGACAATATCCAACTCCGTGATGGCTACCTCCTTGACGCCGCTGCCGGCGAGGGTCTGTAGGGCGCCGAGGGCGTTACCGCCTTGGTTGGCTTGGAGATGGGCTTGGGAGCCTGGGGAGTCTCGATTAGCATTGCATGATACCTGGTTTTATAGTATATAGGCCGGCTTCACACGTACCGATACCGTCAATGGGGATGCCCTTGCCGATCCACTCCTTGACCTTGCGGGCCATTGCTTGCGTCTTGGCGTAGCTCGCCTGGTCGAGGTTATAGTCGTTGATGTACAGCTTGGCATTGGGGTCCGCGGCCCTGGCGGCGCGGAAAGCGATGCCGACAAAGTCCTCGCCGAGGACCTGCGAAAAGACGGAGGAACGGAGGGAGCCGTCCTCGTTGAAGATCTCATTCACAACGTCCTATCATGCACGCGTGAGATAATGTTATTTCAGGCAGAGGGAGATGAAGCAAAACTCACCCAGTGGTAGATTTTGCCCTTGTACCGCCCAACAACAGCCTTGATATGGTCCTCAATGACAGTCGTCAAACCGGCCTTGTCACGGACATTATTGACCCAGCCCGCGAGCTGGGAGTGCCAGACAAGAGTATGCCCGCGGACAAGCTTGCCATTCTGCTGCGCAAAGTTGACGAGGTAGTCGGGCGTAGCCCAGTTGAACTGGCCGCGGTTCGGCTCAATCTGGTCCCACTTCATCGAGTTCTCCGGCGTGACCTGACCGAAATTGGCCTTGATGATGTCGGCGTTCTTGCCGGCGGTCAGGCGGTTCTGGTCGCTGCAGGTGCCAAAGTATTGCTTGCCCTTGGCCTTGATGAGCTTGTCGATGGACTGCGAGGCCTGCCTCTCCTCGAGGGGGGCGGCGAGGACGGTGATGGGCGCCAGGAGGCAGACAAGGCTTGAGGAGAACTTCATTTTGAGCGATGGGGTGGAAAAGAGTGGACTTTGGTGCTGTAAGTTGTGTCTTGCATTGTCTTGACTAGTCGCCTTTATAGAGCTTGGAGTTGTGCCTTCGGGTAGATGGAGGCTCTCTAACTCACACACATGGCTTAACCTTAGATGAAGGACCGCTCATTTGCTTAAACTACTATACAACAACCATAAAGTCCGAATTGCTTATTCGGGCACGGTCCAAAGCCAAACGAGAGGCTCGCAAGTGCAGAGACCAGGATTTGCAGCCCGTTCTGGAAAGCCAAGTTCGGCGGTAACAAGCCGTAATGGCACGGAAGGAGTATTGATCGTGTAAGAAGCGAATTCCAGCCGACCTGGAAGAAAGGCACTTCCCTTGGTAATGCGGGGAATAAGCATGGTAGATGGCGGCTGAATGTGTTAGTTCCTGGGTGGTATCCGGCAGTGACATTACCCAGGAGGACTAGTCATGGAAATGGACATTGCAAGACGCACTCGGCGCTGCGGCGGCAGCGTGCTGATCATGCAGTGGTCTCGTGGTTCTCAGATAGATTGCGAGTAATTGCTAAGGGCGGCTGAAGTGAGGCGCCTAGGTCGCATCCGAACTTCGCGAGATCCGAGTTTTGCGAGCCTCGGTAGCTGCAAAAGGCCACCCTTATTTGGCGCGTTCCGAATGAAACCCTGGAGGCTTGGCCACCATCACTGCCTATGAGAGGCCTTCCACCAGTAAGGGCTACTTGATGTAGTTTCTCGGATGACCGGTATGCGCCATAGAGCCGGGAAATTGACCTAGATTGAAGTAAATTGATCATACTCCTTGGACTTTCACCCTAGTTGAGGGGCATACGAGCCCTCCTCTCTGATGATGTCGTCCCCGGCAAGGTTGAAGGGTGTCAAGTATCACACACCCCGCTCCAACTGTGTTGGAGTGCTAGTCGGGCCTTTGAATCGAAGTTCCGTCCGTTGGACTGCTCGTAAGCAGCCGAGAGGGCACCTGATACAAGCACTAGGTTGTTGGCCTTGTTCGTAGTTGTACGTGATGTACCGAGGCCTCTATGAATCAAGGTTTGGCACTGGCGATGAGATCGCTAATCAGATTTCTGACCGGTTCAAAAACCTCGTCGTCGTCGTCGCCAGGTGGTACAAACACCTTGACGCGTCCCTCTGACAGCACAAACCCGCCACAAGCAATCTTGGTGACTCTGACGCCGGGATGGAAGAGATTGAGGGCGAGATGATTTTCTAAGTAGGCCCCCAAGGCATGTAAGAATGCTTCTTGCTGGTCGCCGCCACCGTCAACCCATCCCCATCCTTCGTCCGCCTTGCCGCCCGCAAGCTTCTTTCTCTTTCTCGGATCGTCTTGGTAGCCTTGAGTGAGACCCGTATTGTTCGTTACTGTCGGGTTCGTGAGGGCTCTTCCTTCCTTTGTAAACCGCTTGAGCTCCTCGGCCGGTATGATGATGTCGATAGACTTGATCCCAAGTCCGTCTGGGGGCTGTTCGTCTGTGCCATCTGAAGTCACTGCCGGTGGTATGTAGAAGCCCAGGGTCAAGACCATGTCCTTTGCCAGAGCGCCCTGTGAGGGGAGTCCGGCATCCTCGATCCATCTCTCCCATGCCGTGGTAAGGCCCTTCGTACCAAGGCGTAAAGGACTGATGCGGCAGTCGAATGTGCTTGATAGGAAATCGACTATAATTGTTTTCAGAGGTGCTGGCATGCGCAAGAGGAGAAGTGGCAGATGCAAAAAGTTCCTGTCATCTTTTGAGTCGCTGCTGGCAAGTAAACCGGGCACACCGAGGTTATTGGCTGACTGTAGTCCACCGGTAGACTCCTCCGCGATCTTTTCAGAGAGCGATGGTAGCAGGACAGCTGTACACAGCGCGTTCTCGTATCTCATCTCGAAGACGAGACATCTCTTTTTTCGGGCCGCATCGTCGGCCCCAAAAGGATCGCTGACAAGATCTCTGCTCAGATCGGGGTCTGTATCGTCGGCGGCGCCCAGTAGTGCTTCAACACCAACCCATCGGATGCCAACTTTTTCCAATGGACCGGCACGTCCTAAAGAGCTGTCGCTGCCTTCCAGCCCAACCTGCACACCTCTGACGACGTCTCCCACGAGTGTATCGCGTAAGCGCTGCGACAGTGTCTGCAATCGAGGAAAGCTCAGGGTGTTGGTGCCAACGTAGAGCGGCGATGCGCGATGGGTGGAGAAGGTGGTGTTGAAGAAGGGCGGAGGCGGTTCGCGTTCCTCGAGGGACGATGGAGATGGTCTGTCGGGTAGCAATTCAGGATCGGATTCGGCCGCACGAGGGCGACCGCTAGGAGGCATGGTGAAGGCTGACGAAGAACTGGCGATGGTGCTGGCGACTCGGGGAATGGGCAAGAAAGCGGTGATGTCTCAGGCTGCTAGTGGATGCAAGGATGTCGCGTTGGTGTTGGCTGAGTCTGCGACTTTTGCGATCGATGGCAAGTTCGTAGGAATCGCCTGTAACGAAGACGCGTCGGTCGGCGGTAACTCTCAGTGAGATTGATCGTGGGTGTTGCGGAGGCGCGCGAATATTGTGTGCGTGATAGCTACGATGTGTTGAAAGCAAGGAGGATGGCCTGCTGAAGCTACAGTGGGACCAGTTGGTGATGGACGCTTAGGCACGGGCAGACAGAATATTGATGCGTGCCAATGCACTGCAATGATGAAAGAGGTGGATTATGTGCGTAAAGGTACTCCGAGGCAGAATTGATTATGATGGAGGAACTTTTGTCTAGTTGTCATGGATTTGAAGGACTGGGATCGAAGATTCCCCAAGAGGCACAGCAGCGGAAGGTACCCGGAGGCAGGTACACCGGAGGCAGGTACACCGGTTTAGTGGGTCCATCGGCGCCAGCTCCGGATTTCTCTCCCTGAACACTTTAGTAGGGGGTACACCCAACATCATCATATCGAGGCTACTGCTCCTGCATATTTTTCTCTCAAATTCAGAGCTACAGGTATAGGGCGTTATGAAAATACTGTCGAATCACTCTCAAAGCTTGACGCGAATGAGTCTACCGGCATAGGAGTAAGGCTGCTTAGCATCACTACGCCAGCCCCATCCACTGCTGAACGTCTTCAGAAAGACTTCATGGCAGGGCTTTGGGAAAGAAGTCGGATGTTTCATCGGATGGAGATTGGATGCGAGATTGGGGGGGTCAACACCTAGCTAGTTCTTGTCAGGCTTTAACCTACAACTGACAAGAAACATCCACATTGGCCTTGCTTGTGTCGGAAGGTAAGAAACATGAGATGCAGACTCGATGATGCTCCTTCTAGTCTACCTTTCGAATAGTACACTAATCCAAAACCCGATGCTATGCCAGTCTTGCCATATTGCGCCTGGCCTTTCTTATACCGAAACC